CACAAGATGATTTCGAAAGGACAGACTTTGGGAAATTAAGGGAATTAGAGTTCAACTGGATTGAACATCTTGGATTTCAATGTAGAGGAAACTTAGTCTTTTTTGTATAGAAGATTTGAAGAAATTCCATCTGAAATTTGCATCTCAAGCAAGGTGGGAAAAGAAGCTTGTAGAGAGTCTCTAGACCCAGCTGGATGAATAACCATCTCAAAAGGGTTAAAAGCAGAAAGCCTACAGGGATTGGACAAAGACGGTAACACCATGGAAGTTGGAAAATGTGGAAATAAAGTGAGAATGGCTACAAGTCAAGCTGAATTAGCTCTTGTTGAGGAAATTAAAATAAAGAGATTTGTTAGTTATATAAATAAAAAGAGAATAAGGATGGATGAGATTGAGCCGCTGTGCCGTGCAGATGGGAAGAAGATTCAAGATCATCTCTAATACTGGCCCAAAAAACTAAATGATTACTTTGCTTCAGTTTTCAGTAAGGATAACATGGCCATTGAAGACAGGATGGCTGACAGAAGCAAGTGTATAGAAACTGAAGTTACCACAAGTGAGGTGGAAGAGAAAATTAAAGAGTTTAATGCAAATTGAGGTGACCGGATAATTTCCATCCCAGTATACTGGAAGAACAGGCACATGAGACTGCTGGCCCAATAGGAAGGACTTTTAATAAAAATATCTATTTGAGGGTAGTACCATAAGACTGGAGAATAGCTAACGTCACCTATTTTTAAGAAAGGGTGGGGAAGTGATCTGGGCAATTATGGACCCGTTAGTGTAACCTCAGTATTATCCAACTCTTTTGAACAAATTTTGAAGGAAAGAATAATGAAATTCATGGATGTAAACAGTAAAGGGGATGTAAAGCGACATAGGTTTACCAAAAGGTAGATCATGCCAGACTAACCTGGTCTGGTGAAGTCAGACTGGCAGATACTTTAGAATTTTTGCCTTCCTCTATAGTGTGTGGGCATGAGTCAATTGCCAGGATTATCTGGGTGTATCTCACATAATCATTTCCCTGCAGTTCCAGGGGTCTCGGGTATAGATACACCTCAGCCCCTCCTATTCTCCTCCGTTAGCACGTTACAGTCTAGTCTCCTCTGGGTTATAATACTTTGGTCCAATTTTGGTTGTTGGGTTTAGTGTGGGGGGGTGCTGGGTGGTATGGTGACCTGTGATATACAGCAGGTCAGACTAGGTAATCCAGCAGTCCCTTCTGGCTTTAAACTCTGACTATGACCCAGGGCACCCTGGATGGTCTTCCTATAAAACACACCATGAGGCGGTGTGACATTATTTACACAGACTGGAATTGTATAGATCATTGTTGCAACCAAGGTCCTATAGTTGGACCAAATCTTATACAAAGGAGGTGCAGTAAGTTGTCTATGGAAAGGTTATGGTTTGCTGGTTATGAATATGCTATCTGTATGCATGTATCATTTTTGTATTTAAAGTTATAACTATTGGTTCTATACCGTCTGTATTTCAAACTTGTGCTATGCTTCTGGGTGACACCCCAGACAATTTGGCATCAGCACTGCCTAGCCTGCTTGATGGCCCATTAAGGACCATCAGCTACACAACTGACTCGTTGAAAGAAGGCAGGTACACCTTGTGACTCAGCAAGGCATGCAGGGACATGCCTATGGACAGAACTCTAAGGTTTTTTCACACCATGTGCTGGATAGCTTGGAAGACAGAAAGAGAGACCACATGGCAAGAGACTATAAAAGGCTGCTTCAGCGCCTCCATCTTGTCTTCAATCCTGCTTCTGACCTCTGGAGGAACCTTGCTACAAACTGAAGCTCTGAACAAAGGACGGAATCATAGAATATCAGGGTTGGAAGGGACCTCAGGAGATCATCTGGTCCAACCCCCTGCTCAAAGCACACACAATTCCCAATTGTTTTCCCCCCCAGATGGCCCCCTGAGGGATTGAACTCACAATCCTGGATGACCCATCCCAGCTGTGGATGTACACCAAAGACTTGATTTGAACCTGCAGTTTATTCTATCACTGCTACAAGCCTGAACCAAGAACTTTGCCATTACTGTATGTAACTGATTACATTTAACCAATTCCAGCTCTCATCTACATCTTTTTCCTTTTATGAATAAACCTTTAGATTTTAGATTCTAAAGGATTGGCAACAGCGTTATTTGTGGGTAAGTCTGACTTGTATATTGACCTGGGTCTGGGGCTTGGTCCTTTGGGATCGGGAGAACCTCTCTCTTTTACTGGGGTATTGGTTTTCATAACCATTCATCCCCATAACAGGTGGCACTGGTGGTGATACTGGGAAACTGGAGTGTCTAAGAAAATTGCTTGTATGACTTCTGGATAGCCAGTGGGGTAAAACCGAAGTCTTCTCGGTTTGGCTGGTTTGTTTTACCTTGGTGTGCAAAGGAACCCCTGCCTTGGGCTGTAACTGCCCTGCTTTAAGCAATTTGTCCTGAATGGGTACCCTCAGTTGGGTCCCACCAAAGCCAGCATCATTACAGGCGGCAAGCATTATATGGCTTGCGCAGACTGGTAAACAGACACACAGAAGTAAAGTGATTTTTCCCCACATCATACAGCAAGTTGGTAGAAGGATCAACTAGTCTGATCTCTTCATCCACTGTCATAATGACTGGCCCCCACAGCCTCCTAAGAGATAGATACTCATGTATTACAATGGAGGCAATAAAGCATAAAATTTGTTACTTAAGCTTTGCATCTGAAAGATTTACATCACTTAAACCAGACTACCTGTTTATTTGCAGATCAGATTAAGATCTAATCCTGAAACACACATCCTCTTTTACCAACACAATTCAACCCTCACAAGCAAGAATAAAGTTAATGATATTCAATACACAATACTTCCAACTCAAGTATTTTGCACTAAGGAGGAAGAGATTGTTCAAGACCGACCATTACACACACTGTGATGTAACCGCTACAGACTGCTATCTGCATATTGAATAACACCTGGATCAGCAATATTTATATTCGTCTTTGCCAAGATATGACTTGTGGGGAGGGAAAGATAGGTAAATAAGCTCATCTCTGCTCTGCAGACTTTCTTTAACTTTTCACTGTTAAAGTTCAATTGCATTAGTGAGATATACATTTCTGTACACAAGGTTCAGCTTTCCAAAGCCAAGTACTGCTTAAGTAAATGGCATTAACTGAAATATACAGCATCAAAAGCAGAATCCAAGTCAGATTTCTCTCGTCTCCAAAACTAAAGAATTGTAACCAATACAAGAAATGTACTTCTCAAGTTTAATGTTTTCAAGACCTCTATTTGTAAGCTTCAATTTGCATTTAGTTCTGTACCTTTTAAGGCCAAATTCAGACTTACAGTTCCCATTGGATTTAAATAGCAGCCCTACACATATGCAGGGGCAGAATTTAGCCACTACAGATGGGACAGCTACAGTAGCTTTTCTCAAACTCCTCACTAAGGGGTGGTATTTTCAAAGGAGCCTGTGGGAGCTAAGCACCCAAATCACAGTGAAAGGCAGTGAACTGGGCACTTAACTCCTTTAGATTTATTTGGAAATTAAGCCCAGATCAACCACTAACACACACACACACACATTTGGCACACACACCCCGACATAAGTATGAACTTTAACATGGGAGATGTCAGAAATATAAAGGGAAGGGTAAATCCCTTTAAAATCCCTCCTGGCCAGAGGAAAAATCCTCTCACCTGTAAAGGGTTAAGAAGCTAAAGGTAACCTCGCTGGCACCTGACCAAAATGACCAATGAGGAGACAAGATACTTTCAAAAGCTGGGAGGAGGGAGAAAAACAAAGGGTCTGTGTCTGTCTGTGTGATGCTTTTGCCGGAGACAGAACAGGAATGGAGTCTTAGAACTTAGTGAGTAATCTAGCTAGGTATGTATTAGATTATGATTCCTTTAAATGGCTGAGAAAATAGCTGTGCTGAATAGAATTAATATTCCTGTCTGTGTGTCTTTTTTGTAACTTAAGGTTTTGCCTAGAGGGATTCTCTATGTTTTGAATCTAATTACCCTATAAGGTATTCACCATCCTGATTTTACAGAGGTAATTCTTTTCTTTTTACTTCTATTAAAAGTCTTCTTGTAAGGAAACTGAATGCTTTTTCATTGTTCTAAGATCCAAGGGTTTGGGTCTGTGGTCACCTATGCAAATTGGTGAGGATTTTTACCAAACCTTCCCCAGGAAGTGGGGTGCAAGGGTTGGGAGGATTTTGGGGGGAAAGACGGGTCCAAACTCCGTTTTTTCAGGAACCCAGATAAAGTTTGGTGGTGGCAGTGGAAATCCAAGGGCAAAGGGTAAAATAATTTGTACCTTGGGGAACTTTTAACCTCAGCTGGTAAAAGTAAGCTTAGAAGGTTTTCGTGCAGGTCCCCATATCTGTACCCTAGAGTTCAGAGTGGGGAAGGAACTTTGACAGGAGTGTTGAGTTTGGTGAATTTTGTTTAAATCTATGATCTGGTTGTATTATGAAGAATTCTGAAGTATGTTCTTCAAGCGTATCTTTAAAAAAAAAAAAAAGGTTCAGAGTACAGCCTGGACCTCAAAGGATGTAAGAACAAATAAGCTTGTACCTAGATGGGTAAGTCTTGCCAACAGTACAACCTGGAATTGATCCAAAACTCTTCACTGCAAGAGAGGTGTCTGCAGGTCAGGTGTGGCACACAGTTTCCAAACTGCAGTCACCCACTTTAAACAGAAGAAATCCAAAATGCAAACATCACTTTTACTTTACATATGGGGAGAGGGAGAGGCGGGGGAGAAGCCCTTTGTCAATCTTGCTTTTTTAAAACCACATTTCAATTCTCACCATAACAAATGCATTGGCACTGGAACAACAGTGTGATGAAATATGTAGTGTACCCAAAGTCAAAAGAAAAGAAAACCAACCGTTGCATTGTACCAGCTAAAGTAAATAGGTTCCCTCTTTAGTCAAAACTGCATGTGAAGTTCAAACTAAAAGCTTTACTTACTCACAAAGCAGAATACCATTTTCTAATCCAGAACGAAAATCTTTGTCACCAAAACTTCTGCCTGTGACTTGCTGAAAAATAAGAAGGGGAAACAAGAGAGAGAAAAAAAAAAAAGAGTTTAACAGGTGCATATTTAAAGAATGCTTCATGATTTTGTTATTTAAAACCTTTAGAGCAAATGTAAAATGACAACTCTTTGGGCATTGCCAGTAAAGCCCAAGATGTTTCCTGCATCGAGAAAAAGCCCCTTTCACTGAACTATTTAACATGTAACACAAAGCCCTCTCTGCTAATCCTTTAGTTTAAAAATTCAAGAATGGCTTAATGTAAGTGTCACTGTAACCCTCGGAATAATTGTCAGTCTAGGCATTTTTATAGGCAACGAGTGTATTTACGCAAAGCTGAGTATATGTATTTTTTTTTGCATAACAAATATACTTCACTTTATGTGCTATTCGTGGATCTGATCCTGCAGCCCTTACTCACATGAGCAATTTCACAGGGGCACTAAGTTATGTGAGTTGGGGTTACAAGATCTTGCGATACGATTTGTTACACAAATGTGAGGCAACCTTCCTAATTACCTGTGCACTGTTTGTAATAAGCTGAAGAACACAAAGTTAGTAAGCTTGAAAAAAAATACATTATTTAGAGACAGATTGCAATACCCTTATTCATACTGAACACTACACACCATGAAGTCAAATGGGACTTGCATGTGAAGTAAGGATGGGAAGTATCTGATCTTTAGTGCTGGTCTACACTAGGAGTTGAGGTCAAATTTAGCAGCATTAAATCAATTTAACCCTGCACCCGTCCACACGATGAAGCCCTTTTTTTCGACTTAAAGGGCTCTTAAAATCAATTTCCTTACTCCACCCCCGACAAGAGGATTAGCGCTAAAATCGGCCTTGCTGGGTCGAATTTGGGGTACTGTGGACACAATTAGATGGTATCGACCTCCGGGAGCTATCCCAGAGTGCTCCATTGTGACCGCTCTGGACAGCACTCTCACTCAGATGCACTGGCCAGGTAGAAAGGAGAAGACCCGCAAACATTTGAATTTCAATTTCCTGTTTGACCAGCGTGGCAAGCTGCAGGTGACCATGCAGAGCTCATTAGCAGAGGTGACCATGATGGAGTCCCAGAATCGCAAAAGAGCTCCAGCATGGACTGAACAGGAGGTACGCGATCTGATCGCTGTATGGGGAGAGGAATCCGTGCTGTCAGAACTACTTCCAGTTTTCAAAATGCCAAAACATTGGTCAAAATCTCCCAGGGCATGAAGGACAGAGGCCATAAAAGGGACCCGAAGCAGTGCCGCGTGAAACTTAAGGAGCTGAGGCAAGCCTACCAGAAAACCAGAGGGGTAAACGGCCGCTCCGGGTCAGAGCCCCAAACATGCCGCTTCCATGATGAACTGCATGCCATTTTAGGGGGTTCAGCCACCACTACCCCAGTCATGTTGTTTGACTCCTTCAATGGAGATGGAGGCAACACGGAAGCAGGTTTTGGGGACCAGGAAGATGATGATGAAGTTGTAGATAGCTCACAGCAAGCAAGCGGAGAAACCGGTTTTCCCGACAGCCAGGAACTGTTTCTCACCCTGGACCTGGAGCCAGTACCCCCCGAACCCACCCAAGGCTGCCTCCCGGACCCGCCAGGTAGAGAAGGGACTTCTGGTGAGTGTACCTTTTAAAATAGTATACACGGTTTAAAAGCAAGCATGTTTAATCATTAATTTGCCCTGGCATTTGCGGCTCTCCTGGATGGACTCCCAAAGCCTTTGCAAAAGGTTTCTGAGGAGGGCAGCCTTATTCCGTCCATGGTACGGACATTTTACCACTCCAGGCCAGTAGCGCATACTCAAGAATCATTGTTGAACAAAGCATTGCAGTGTATGTTTGCTGGCATTCAAACAACATCCATTATTTATCTCTCTGTGTTATCCTCAGGAGAGTGATATCATTCATGGTCACCTGGTTGAAATAGGGTGCTTTTCTTAAGGGGACATTCAGAGGTGCCTGTTCCTGCTGGGCTGTTTGCCTGTGGCTGAACAGAAATGTTCCCTGCTGTTAGCCACGGGGAGGAGGGAGGAGCTAGCCACGTGGTGGGGGGAGGCAAAATGCGACCTTGGAATGAAAGCACATGTTCTATGTATGTAATATTAACAGCAAGGTTTACCGTGAAAGAGTGTACCCGTTGTTCTATAAAATGTGTCTTTTTAAATACCACTGTCCCTTTTTTTTCCTCCACCAGCTGCATGTGTTTCAAGGATCACAGGATCTTCTCCTTCCCAGAGGCTAGTGAAGATTAGAAGGAGGAAAAAAAATGCACTCGCGATGAAATGTTCTCTGAGCTCACGCTGTCCTCCCACTCTGACAGAGCACAGACGAATGCGTGGAGGCAGACAATGTCAGAGTGCAGGAAAGCACAAAATGACCAGGAGGAGAGGTGGTGGGCTGAAGAGAGGGCTGAAGCTGAAAGGTGGCAGCAGCATGATGAAAGGAGGCAGGATTCAATGCTGAGGCAGCTGGAGGATCAAACTAATATGCTCCAGCATATGGCTGAGCTGCAGGAAAGGCAGCTGGAGCACAGACCGCCACTACAGCCCCTGTGTAACCAACTGTCCTCCTCACCAAGTTCCATAGGCTCCTCGCCCAGACGCCCAAGAATGCGGTGGGGAGGCCTCCAACCACTCCACCGCAGAGGATTGCCCAAGCAACAGAAGGCTGGCATTCAATAAGTTTTAAAGTTTTAAACTTCTAAAGTGCTATGTGGCCTTGTCCTTCCCTCCACCACCAGCCCTCCCAGTGCTTCTCTCCTCCACCACCCCTCCCGGGCTACCTTGGCAGTTATCTCCCTATTTGTGTGATGAATTAATAAAGAATGCATGAATATGAAGCAACAATTACTTTATTGCCTCTGCAAGCGGTGATCGAAGGGAGGAGGGGAGGGTGGTTAGCTTACAGGGAAGTAGAGTGAACCAAGGGGCAGGGGGTTTCATCAAGGAGAAACAAACAGAACTTTCACACCGTAGCCTGGCCAGTCATTAAACTGATTTTCAAAGCTTCTCTGATGCGCACCACACCCTCCTGTGCTCTTCTAACCACCCTGGTGTCTGACTGTGCGTAACCAGCGGCCAGATGATTTGCCTCAACCTCCCACTCTCCCATAAACATCTCCCCTTTACTCTCACAGAGATTGTGGCGTGCACAGCAAAGCGGTAATAACAGTGGGAATATTGGTTTCGCTGAGGTCTAAACGAGTCAGGAAACTGCGCCAGCACACTTTTAAACGTCCAAATGCACATTCTACCACCATTCTGCACTTGCTCAGCCTGTAGTTGAACAGCTCCTGACTACTGTCCAGGCTGCCTGTGTATGGCTTCATGAGCCATGGCATTAAGGGGTAGGCTGGGTCCCCAAGGATAACTATAGGCATTTCAACATCCCCAACGGTTATTTTCTGGTCTGGGAATAAAGTCCCTTCCTGCAGCTTTTGAAACAAACCAGAGTTCCTGAAGATGCGAGCATCATGTACCTTTCTCGGCCATCCCACGTTGATGTTGGTGAAACGTCCCTTGTGATCCACCAGTGCTTGCAGCACTATTGAAAAGTACCCCTTGTGGTTTATGTACTCGCCAGCTGGGTGCTCCGGTGCCAAGATAGGGATATAGGTTCCGTCTATGGCCCCACCACAGTTAGGGAATCCCATTGCAGCAAAGCCATCCACTATGACCTGCACATTTCCCAGGGTCACTACCCTTGATATCAGTAGATCTTTGATTACGTTGGGTACTTGCATCACAGCAGCCCTCACAGTAGATTTGCCCACTCCAAATTGATTCCCGACTGACCAGTAGCTGTCTGGTGTTGCAAGCTTCCACAGGGCTATTGCCACTTGCTTCTCAACTGTGAGGGCTGCTCTCATCTTGGTATTCATGCACTTCAGAGCAGGAGAAAGCAAGTCACAAAGTTCCATGAAAGTGCCCTTACACATGTGAAAGTTTTGCAGCCACTGGGAATCGTCCCAGACCTGCAAACACTATGCGGTCCCACCAGTCTGTGCTTGTTTCCCAGGCCCTGAATCGGTGTTCCACCGCATGAACCTGCCCCATTAGCACCATGACGCCCGCATTGCCAGGGCCCGTGCTTTGAGAGAAGTCCTCATCACTCTTGTCACCGCACTGACGTCGCCTAGTCGCCCGGTTTCGTTTTTCCAGGTTCTGGTGCTGCATATATTGCTGGATAATGCATGTGGTGTTTAATGTGCTCCTAATTGTCAAAGTGATCTGAGCGGGCTCCAGGCTTGCCGTGGTATGCCGTCTGCACAGAAAAAAGACACAGAACGATTGTCTGCCGTTGCTCTGACGGAGGGAGGGGTGACTGACGACATGGCTTACAGAGTTGGCTTATAGGGAATTAAAAATCAACAAAGGGGGTGGCTTTACATCAAGGAGAAACTGTCACACAGAATGGCCCCCTCAAGAATTGAACTAAAAACCCTGGTTTAGCAGGCCAATGCTCAACCCACTAAGTATCCCTCTCTTTGGTATTTCAGGCAGGACTGAATCTCCATTCAAGTTTTCAAGGTGCCCCTGACAGACCTCACCAAAACGATTCTCCGCCGTTGATTTCACGGAGGGAGGGAGGGGGGAGCAAATGAATACAAAACAAATCTGGTCTATTTCTTGTTTTGATCCACTCCATCTATCTTTTACATCTTTGGCTGGCAGCAGACGGTGCAGTAGGACTGCAAGCCATCTGGTTATTTGAAACAATGCTACTCTGTAGGAAAGACCTCTACAGGTGAGAAGATTGTTTGTTTGTTGGCTGTTTGTGCAGACTGTTCTCAGAGGCCAAGGAGTGAATGAACAATGTCAAACATTACCAGATATGGAGTTAGAGAGGTAGAGGTATGTCTGTGGTTCCTTCATTAGAGACTGGAACTAAAACAATGCATTTCAACTAAGAAATCGCCCGTAAAAAGCCATCAGATGGGAATCACTATCACTACTAACCGAGGACAGTTTCAAACCAGGACCACCAGTGAAAGCAGGGTCTGAATG